CTAATATAGTGCTTTCTACATGCATTAAGGTCATTGTTCTATTGACTTGTTTTACCTTGCATCCAAGTAGGCAGGATGTATTATGATCGCAATAGCACAAAATACCAATATACTCCTTCCGATGAAAATTTTAAGGATCCAGTTTAGTAATGATATCCTTTCCAGGTGATATGAAAATTAGAGCCAAATAAAGATTCTTTTTATGAGAGGTTCTGTTTTTTTATGTTACTCGAGATTCTATATGGAGAATCCTATTCTAGAATATTTTTGTGAAACTCATTAGTAGTGATAACATGAAAAATGCTACTTTGCAAGATAACTTGTGATACTTACTGGCCTATATTTTGTGATTTTTAATTTTTTAGCCTAAAGTACTTCAGGTAGAGGCCAAGTTATCATATCTTAATTTCAAACTTTTCCTGCTTGCTCCTACCAAGATCACTTAAATTTTTCTCTGCCATCTTCTTGTGGAATTGTTCACTATGTTGGGTCAAATTTAGGCGAAGCAGTTTCCAGATGAGCAAAAGCTGTGATTTTCTGTAGATATTCTGAAATTAAATTCACTCATTTATAGTGATATTGGTACTATGCTGTTTGTAGTTTTCTAGAACTTATAGCTAGTATTAACAACCTTTTATTTGATATGTTCTTTATGGTCTGAATATGATGCATAATTTCTGAGTGCTATAGTATATCTTGTACGGTGGCATCACTGATGACAAGTCAAGGAAATATCTTTATATTGGGGGCCGGCTCATTATCCACCGAATTTGAATCGTGCGCCACTGGCTTAGGGGGATTTCTTGGTTATCTAAAAGAAAGGAAATATCTTTATATATTTTTTCTTGAATGCCTTGGGTTTTTCTGCCAAGTTTTGCCTAATTTGAGATTTATATTCTATAGCATTCGTGTTCTATCATTGTTATTTATGCTGACTTCTTTGTGAATAAATGCGAGGAAGAAGCGTCCGATGATTAGATAATTCCTGGGTGTTCTCTTAAAGTTGTTATGTCTCCAAGTCTTTGACATTTTGATCAATGGAATTTGTTCTGTTAGGTTTTTGGAGAGATTGCAGAAGGGCTGGACACATTGAATAGGATAAATGAAGCTTATGTGGATGAGAAGGGCAGGCCATTTAAAAATATCCGGTTCGTTGTTGATGTATTGTATGCTCCTCTTTTCTCCATTTAGTAGATCTCTTCTAATTGATAATGTCCACTCTTCAGAATCAAACACACTTACATATTGGACGATCCTTTCGACGATCCTGCCCAGCTAAGCGACTTGATTCCAGATGCCTCACCTGAAGGGAAGCCAAAAGATGAGGTAAAGAATGTAGAAATTAACAGTCCACTTATTCACCCCATGAGTTTTTATGCATCATCAAGTATATTACCAGTCCACTTGTTCATCTCCATGAGTTTTTATGCATCATCAAGTATAAAACCATAGAATTTGAAGTGTAGTTTATCCTTCTTTGCGTAATAAGATTATGCTGGCAGAGATATGCAACAGCATTATCTGAAGTTCATTCCTTTGATGCTGCAGATCTTAAAGAGTAGATGAACAAATTTTGAAGTTTTGAACTCTAGGTTATGCACCTAGAGACTCTGCAAAAGCTTTGTTGTCTGTTTTCGTTTTCTCTTTTCTTTTGATTTGTGAACCAGTTCCTTAGCTTGATATAACGATGTCCATTTAAAGTTAGTTTGTCAAGATAATCAGGGTATCTTGAGTATGGGATGTCAATGAATTCTGCAAAAAATAGAATAAACTAGAACTCACATTTTTCCACTGTTCAGTTCCAGACAAAGAATTTTGTCTACACCAAAGCTTGTTTCTTGTGGGGAATTTAAACAATAGAGCATGAGAGCCGTATTACTTGTTTTTAGATTGGTCTTTTTGCTAGAGGATTATGGTAGAGATTATTTAGGTTTTGCACTATCTGATAAAATTTTGCTACTTCCATATTTAGTCAATGGATTTGTATCTGGGTTTTGATCTGAAAAGAATGGTAGAGTTCTGTTGTTCGATGTGTATTTATATGATTGTGTAATTCCAACAAGAATCTAAGTTTTTTTTACTTAGCATAATATGTATTGCATAGAGCAGTCTTTCTTTCTTGGTGTAAAACAATAGCATGTTTCGTGATTCCCTTCCTGATCTCCAATGAGACTGCATGGCTTGCACACGTGATGTGATCGCAGGGTGGGACCTAAGGCTCTTCCTTATACCCATCTTCCTTGGGAATGAAATTTTCATAAAAGAAGATATGTAATAATATCCCTAACATGTTAGTTGTCCACTTAGTCAAGCAATTACCCTTTTATGTTATTCATGCCCTTACATCTTTCTATCTACTTAGGTTGAAGATGATGTGCGACTAGAAGATGATTGGGTGCCAATGGATGAGCAACTGGGTATACAAGAACTCGAGGAGGTTCTGCATGCAAAAGAAGCACATTCCCGAGCAGTAGTACTTGAAAGTGTAAGAACTTTTGTGAACTGTTTGATCATTCAAAAATTGTAGGCCTTCCAAATTGTAATCATGCTAACTCGTGTCACAGGTAGGAGACATTCCTGATGCTGAGATAAAGCCTCCTGACAATGTGCTGTTTGTTTGTAAATTAAATCCAGTTACTGAAGTAAGTTTCTGCTTTATTCTTGTTGTTAATTTTTTTAAAAAGAAAGAGATTGTCTAAGCTTTAATTCTTGATCATCCAATTTTTTGAACATGTATGCCATCTTTCTTTCTGGTACTATCAGACAATATTTTTCCATGCAGGATGAAGACCTGTATACAATCTTCTCACGCTTTGGAACTGTGACATCGTAAGTTTGTTATCATATTTTGAATATTTTGCATGCTATTTATTCTTCGTTTAGTGCCAATATGTGTTGAAATTTCTCTCATCTCTTATTGCTTGTTCTCCTTAGTGCTGAAATTATTAGGGACTTCAAGACTGGGGATAGTCTCTGCTATGCTTTCATTGGTAAGTTTAAGATTCCATAAAAAAATTGTGAGGTATTAAAGCTTAACAAAAATATGTGCACCTTATTGCTGGTTCTTCACCCAGTAATGTGTTTTTTTCCATAATCTTAAACTCTAAGGAAGTGATGTGAGTTACCCATGCTTTCCAGCAAGTCTAGGCATGCTACAATATCAGTACCTTTGCTGCTCATCAAGGGTGTCAAAAACCTCTTAAGAGAGCAACTGGTGTTGACCAGCCACTTTCGGTAGGAAGATCTTTTAGTATTGCACTATTCTAGGAAAAGTTCTCTAAATTATCTGAACCTTGGATTACCTGTTATGTTTGCCCGATATTCCTACCTATATATACTTTTGAAAACAATACCAATATGTATACTACTTTATCAACATTGTCCAATGCAAAGTCCTCAATAGTATCTGATCAGGATGATTCTAAAATCTTTGATTGATAACCTCCTCTAGCTGTATACTACTCGTAGCTGAAAATAACACCTTGATCTCCAATTGATTTTATTGGTGCCTGCTATTTTGTCGGAAATGACGATCTATTGTTAACAGACAACACCTTGATCATCATCTAAGGTGGTGAATGCCATCACCATTCTCTGTCCTTTCCCTCTCAATGTGATCTTATTTCCATTAAGAAGGACTGACCTGCTTTACATTCTCAGCCAAGACGTTTCTAAACACAAGGTGTGTATCACCACCGATGATACACACCTTATTTGTTTGCTTCACCACTGATCATATTATAACCTGTGTTATTGTAAATAGCGCTCGCTACGTCGCTAATAGCGAGTAGCGACGCAAAGCGAGGATCAGGTGCTTTTTTTTGGACTGTTGCGATGCGTTTTTAAAAAGCTCCGGCGAGGCGAAGTAGCTCCAACCAGGCGACGAGGCGAGGTAGCGACAGAGGCGTCGCTTTTTAAAAAATTGAAAAGAAAAAAGAAGAGACTTAAATAAAAGTTAAGGGTTTTCTTCGACTTACAAGTACTTCTTTCTTCTTCTTTCTTCTTTCTTTCTTCTTTCTTTTCTTTTTCTTTTTCCGGCCGTAAGCCTCTGTTTTCGAGCGTAAGCCTCTCTTCTTTCTTCTTTCTTTTCTTTTCTTTTTCCGGTAGTAAGTCTTCTTTGTTCTTCTTCTTTTCGGCAACAACTGATTTCCGGCAGAAATATTCTTTCTTTCTTTTCTTTCACCCCTGTTTTCACTTCTGCTCTTCTTTCTTCTTCTGTTTCTCTCTTTTGATTTTTTTCCAGTTTAGTAAACAATTAATTGCATATTAACTTCTCTCTATAGTTACAAATAACTGTTATTTTCTCTCTTTAATTATAATTAATTTCTCTCTATAAACAGTAATATATTAGATATCTCTCTATATATATTAAAATATTTGATTTCTATCTATTGAGTTTTTGAATTGATATATTTATTAATAAGCTGTTGTCATTGAGTTTTTAGTTATTTATACATGCAAATTTACTATTTTATTTTTTGTATTAATTGGCGCTTCACATCAAAAAGGCGAGCGCTACGCTTCTCGCCTCAGTGAAGCGGGTCCTCATCGCTTTTTGTCGCCTCGTGCTATTCAAAACACTGTCAGGCTGTTACCTTTACCAGTGATACTCTTCTCTTCTCACCCTCACTAGGAATAACCCATGTCAACGTTAGGGCTTCTTTGGATTATGAAAGAAAAACAGCGGAATGTTGGGGTATAACTCTTTTGCACAAGCTTTGAGGAGATTCGAGAAGAGAAGGCAAGAAAGGGGACAGAACTTGCGGAGAGGGTTTCATATCTTCACTTTTGTTTCCCTTTCTCTGTTTGCGTGACTGCTAAACTGGATAGTGTTTAGCTATGTTGTTTTTCTTCCTTTCTTCTTTTAACCCCAATTAATCATAGTGCAAGTGAATGCNGTATCATCTATTTTGGGTGTGTGTGTGTGTGTGTGTGTGTGTGTGTGTGTGTGTGTGTGTGTGTGTGTCTTGGATTGTCTTTTGCTATAAGATGCAGTAAGGCTATTAAAGTTCTCATAAGCTTGATCACATGACTCAATGCGTTTTCAGATTTTTATACGGTGAGCAGGCTCGGTTCTTTGGAGACGAGATTCATTTGGACTTGAAGCATTCAAAGATGGGAACTGTAGCCATGGTTAGCGCTGGGGAAAACTTAAATGCTTCTCAGGTCTTGTACTTTCCTTTCACATTAGCTTTCAATACAATGTGGCCCCTTTGAATGATCATAGCTTGTAATACAGTATAACATAGTTATGACATTCTTCTCCTTTCTTTTTTCGGGTTTTTCAGTTCTATATCACGCTGCGTGATGATCTCGACTACCTTGATGGGAAGCATACCGTGAGTATTTCTGTCCTGAATTTTATTCATCCATATATCCTCTTTGTTCTATTAAGGCATCAACACCGACTTATATCCTTTATCCAATGCACTATTAATTTCTCTGTCAGCTGTCCTAACATTTCACCATGTTTTCGGCACTAAGAGCATTCCCTTATTTGTTTATTGCAGTAGCATGAAGATATGAGAATTTCTTAGCTAATATAGTGCTTTCACATGCATTAAGGTCATTGTTTCTATTGACTTTGTTTTACCTGCATCCAAGTAGGCAGGATGTATTATGATCGCAATAGCACAAAATACCAATATACTCCTTCCGATGAAAAATTTTAAGGATCCAGTTTAGTAATGATATCCTTTCCAGGTGATATGAAAATTAGAGCCAAATAAAGATTCTTTTTATGAGAGGTTCTGTTTTTTTATGTTACTCGTAGATTCTATATGGAGTAATCCTATTCTAGAATATTTTTGTGTAAACTCATTAG